ACCAGTCCAAGAAAGAAATTTGTGTCACTACTACCCACCCCACAAAAAAGAAAGTTAACATCGAACACCATAAAGAAAATTAATTCTTATTTTAATAATTTGTGGAAATATTTACCCTTTGCCTGAAGAAGGTCGCAAGACCGAAAACACGTGCAGTAAAATTATGATATATACATACATACATATATATATATTGTCATAAATTTTACTTAAAAAAAAATGTACCCTAATATACATACTTATACTTGATGTAAAAATAATCCTACATACAAGGGATTCTAATACATTTAACTGTTCATAAAAAAATATAGTATAATAAAAATTAAAAATGAGAATATTTCAAATCGTAGTTAAATAAAAAGTATTCTAATCTGAACACCCGTGAAATCTTTAAATTTACAAATAGGAAAAAAAAAATGCCGTAAGAAGTTACTCCAAAATTCGCTTGAGGATGAAATGGAACTAATGTCTTTAATTTAATTGCAAAATTAAATTCGTGGCTTTTAGCTTCCATTTTTGAAACATGGTTAGAACTGTGTAGCGAAAAAAAAACATTTTTTAAATCAATTAATTTATAATATTAATGCTCTGTAAATGTATTAATCCACATGATAATTAAAAACGTTTGCGGTTTCTCTTTTCTTTTTAAATATACACTTTTCTCTCGTTGGAACAACTATAACCTCTTGCCTATATATATATATATATATATATATGTATGTGTGTTTGTGTGTGTGTGTGTGATTTTTGTCTAAGAGCAAAATTCTTGTGTTTGACCAGATTTAAGTAATGTGTTTGACTGAAAACGTTTAGTACTCCATCGTATATGCATATAGATACACACATACATGCCTACACACATACATATCTAAACATATAAACACACACGCCACACACACTCACACACACACACACACACACACACACACATATATATATATATATATATATATATATATACTATACACACATATATATATAGTACAGACGCATACACATGTGTGTGTGTGCGTTTCTGTTTCGTTTTGTTAAGAGAAGATTCTGAAAGCGAAATTCTTTTGTTTGGCCAGATTCTATGGAATGTGCTTTTAGTTCCCACTATATTTATATACATACAGACACATAAGTACAGACATAGATACATATATGATTGGTCTGGTCAAGAAGAGATTGTGTTTGTTTGTTTTTTTTAATCATTTCAAGTTAAAGAAAGCAATAAAGTGACTAGGACGCTTGGGCTGTTCTGTGTGTGAAAGAATAAGTGAAAAATAAAACTTTTTTTAAAGAGAGAGAGAACAATAAATGAACAGGAATTTAGAAGACAGAAGATAACGATTGACATTGCATTTTATTTTTTGTTAAGATCAAACTTGACTTGAAAGAAAGAAACCGGCAGAGAGGTGGGTCAGGTTTTAGGCAATGACGACACTTACTACCCCATTGTATATACATGCACACGCATATATATATATATATATATATATATATATATATATATATGTATGTATGTATATATATATTATAAAATGGACAAAGTCCGACAATTATTTTAAGACATTTTTATGTTTATACATTCTTTTTATAGATACAAATATTTGTATACATTTGGATACACGATGAGCAGATATGAATGTACGTGAGAGAATCATTGAAGGTTGTAGTTTAAAGACAGTAAAATCGACCCTGCTAACTGAACGCTCCTCTGTGGCCGAAACGTTTAATGCACGTCAGGCTATCTGATGGTTTCCTGTCGGAGGACGAATATTTTCTATGAAAATTTCTCGGACATTCAGGCCGGTAAATGTTATTTAAGGCTGTTTATTATAAACAGAGCTTTTACTTAAATATTTGTATCTATAAAAAGAATGTATAAACATAAAAATGTCTTTATATATATATATATATATATATATATATATATATATATATATATATTCAATATATATAGCACGCCTAAACCCATACACACACACACGCACACACACACATCTATATATATAATTGTATAATTGCCATGAGTATTATATATAATTTGTAATTACTACGTGGAATACATAGGTGGAACATTAAGAAAATTAAATCAACGATTATATGAAAAAATAACCTTTTATAAAACAACACATTCACTGCTCATCGTGAAGCGTTTTACCATAATTTTGATATAAAAAAAGTATTTAATTAAAAGAGAAAGCAATTTACTGAGACGAATGTGTATAGAAAGTGCGTTAATCGCTGGATTATCCACAGGAAATATGCGTCATGATTCTTTCAACATTTTGCCTTTTTGCCAGATCTCATAGATTTTCCTAACGCTGTTCTGGTATCTAAACTTTTATATATCTTTTCCCATCAAACCATATAACAATCATGAATGTCTATTTATTTATATATTTGCTGTCCTACCTCTAGTGCGAAGGGAGGTAAATCAGCTTAAGTTAATAAATTTATAAATGACTTCTTTTAGACATTTTAATAATCTATACAAATAAAAGATTTATTTGCATTTAGACAAAATGAACCGTGTAAGCAATGAGTTCATTTACTTCTAAGTTTCTTATTTTGCAGTGTTATTTGTTCAAGCCTTTCATGTGAGGTAATCAGATACCTTTCTCTCTTAAATGATCAGCTTGCTTCAACTTGGTCTTGAAATAGGTTTTCTTGTCGCTGTCTTTGTTGTTCTGTTACTAAACTTTATCATTTCACTGTTATATTCAACAGATACATTTTTAAGATTAAAAAAAATATTAAGCATAAACGCGATTTATATACAACCAGGAGTAATCAATGAATCATACATACCATTGGACGCCTGAAAATTATAATGGAAATGGATTACTTAAACGGTTCATTGGTCTTGGATGGTCTTTGGGAATTCTTTATCTCCGCTTTATTGAATCTCAAGACATTGTTTCAAGACTTTTGGTTCATTGCATTTCACTATTAAAACGTTGTATCAATTGCCGTCAATTTTAATTACATTAGTGCATTTTGTTAAATTGAACTGAATTGTATTTTAATGAATATTGTCTTGAAGAAGGTTTATTAAACCGAAACGTCAGACGTCGACATTTCATTCATTTTAAACAACATAATTGCATTTAAGGATTTTTGGTTTGTTTTTTCCAAATTTTTCTTCATTCTGTCGGATCTATATCCATTTACATTTGCTTACACACACATATATATATATATATATATATATATATATATATATATATATATATATATATATATATATAATTCCGACGTTCGTAAGATTCAATTTAAAAGAGAGCCCAATACACTAGTAGAGCAATATTGTTTATTTTAGGATATTACATCCAAAACGTAAAACCGCTACATAAATGGCATATTTCGATGTGTATTAAAACATCTCATCAGGTGTTAGTAAATGACTAGTTAGTACAATTGGTTAGTAATTGGTTAGTAAATGACTGGTTAGTAAATGACTGGTTAGAAAGTGTACTAACCAATCATTTACTAACGCCTGATGCGATGTATTAATACATACCGAAACATGATTGCATTTGTGTATCGTTATTCACATGTCTTGATGTAATAATAAAGTATATATATATATGCATATATATATGTGTGTGTGTGTATGTGTATGTGCGTGTGTGTGTGTGTATGGATGATGGATTGATGGATGGATTCTTCGAAGTCTCGAACGGACATATGTCTTTGAATATTAATGCCTCAAATATGTCAGACGATTTTTTCTTGTTATTTTTTCTTCAAGAATTCTCTGTTTGATTTCGGTTGGGATATTTGTTTTATATCTTTTCCTTTTTGTTTCATTTTCATTCAATACTCTTTATTTTCTTTTATTATATGCTCTTTCTTTCTTTCTTTTTTTCTGTTGCCAAACGTCTCTTGTTCTCTTTAATATTAGCTTCTTACTTTCTTTTACACGAGTTCTCTTTTACTTTCCTTTAATATTTCCTTCTTTCTTTCTTTCTTTCTTTCTTTCACTTTTACATACGTTCTCTTTTTCTCTTCTTTATTTCTTTGGTGCCACTTCTCTTTCGTCTTTTATATTACCAACCTTCTTTCTTTCTTTCTTTCTTTCTTTTTCCACGTGCCTTCTTTCTCTTCTTTCTTTCTTTTAGACGAATTCTTTTTACTTTACTTTAATATTGCCTTCTTTCTTTCTTTCTTTCTTTCTTTCTTTCTTTCTTACATACGTTCTTTTGTTCTCTTCTTTATTTCTTTGGTGCCAATTCTCTTTCGTCTTTTATATTACCAAACTTCTTTCTTTCTTTGTGTCTTTGTTTGTTTGTTTCTTTCTTTTCCCACGTGTCTTCTTTCTTTCTTTCTTTCTTTCTTTCTTTCTTTCTTTCTTTCTTTCTTTCTTTTGCACAAGTTCTCCTTTTCTCTTCTTTTATAATATCCACTTTTTTACTCTTTCCTTCTTTGATCCCTATTCGATTCCACCACATCAAAAAACTAAGACTGTCAAAAGAGTTAGTCAAGTTGAACTGTTAAGTTTTGTTGGCAAGAAACGAACTGACCCAACTGTCCATAGACAAGGTCATTGTGACCTGGTCATATTGCTACTCACTATCTACAAAATCATCAGAACGAGGCAAGTCGAGCGAAGGAACTTCTGCTTGACAGGAAGCAGGGTCGAGCGCGCCGAGATCTATAAAGACTTCTTTTCTGATTGGCCTCCGATCAGAAATGATAAAAATCTTCCATCTTGTTTTGCCTCAGTCATTTTTATTTTTACTTCTACTTTTCCGTCTTTCTTGTTTTTTTTTTTCGCCTGTTTTTTCAATTTTTAAAAAATTTCGTTTCATGTTTATTTGTTTTTGTTTATTTTCATTTTTGGTTTTGAAAATCTTGTCATTTTTCTTTTCCTTGATTTCCGTTTTTGATGTGCCTTTTCTTTTGTTTTTTGTTTTTGTTTTGTCTTCCTTTTTTCTTTCTCTCTTGTTTTGCTTGATTTTCCTTTTTGTCATTTCCTTCTTTTCCTTCCCTCATCTTTTATTATTATTATGATTCTTTCTTTTTCTTTTGGTACTGCTACTCTCTTTCTTTTTTCCGGATCTTTTCTTTCTCTCTTTTTCGTCGCCATTTTCTTTTTTATAGTTATCGTTCTTGTTTTTTCTTCATTTTTAAAAATTCTTCCTACCATTTATTTTTTTATTTTTCGTTGTTTTTTTTTTTACTAACGTTTTTTTTTTCTATTTCTAATCTTTTTTTCATTCTTCTTTTCCCCGTTTTTTCTCTAATTACTCTGCTTTTAGCTTTCATGTTTTCTTTCGTTTGCGTCTCGTTTTTAGCTTTTTCTTCGTTCATTTTTTTTCTCTTTGCATCTTTCAATGTTCCTATATTTTTATATCTGATAAGATTTTCCATTTGCAATCAGCTAGAGTTTGATTTTATGATGTTCAAGTATTTATTTTAATTTCTTTTCGCTTATTGGTTTATTTCATTTATATAAGAAAGATTTTTCTTTGTCAAATGTAGCTTTTACAGTCTAATATATATATATATATATATATATATATATATATATATATATATATATATATATATATGGATATAAATCCGACAGTATGAAAGAAAAATACAGAAAAAACAAAAATCTGAATATGCATTTATGTAGTATTAATGTTAAAATAAAGTCGACGTCGGACGTTTCGGTCTATTTAAGAATACGTTTTAACAACATCACCCACGTGACGACGACGTGATCATATTTAAACGGAACGCTGATCTGTATAAAATTTCAGTTATCTGTTTGAATTAGTTGGGCTCTTATGTCCATCGTCTTTTGTGCTAAATTTTTATAAGTTATAATGTTAATTATGTTTAAATGAAAATATCCATGAAGATGGTCTTAAATAGACCGAAACGTCCGACGTCGACTTTATTTTAACATTAATACTACATAAATGCATATTCAGATTTTTGTTTTTTCTGTATTTTTTTTTTCATATATATATATATATATATATATATATATATATATATATATATATATATATATATATAATATGAAATGGACTAAGTCCGACAATTATTTTAATATATTTTCTGTTTATACATAATTTTATAGATACAAATATTTAAGTAAATCCTCTGTTTATAATAAACAGTATTAACAACATTTACCGGCCTGAGTACAGATTCGATATATATATAAGGCACGTTGGAGTAGTGGTTAACGACTTGGATTGAGGAATTGGAGAGCCGAGTTCGAATTCCAGTCGAATCCATTACCCTTCTACCTCGCTATGGATAAAGGTATAGGAGGAGGACGACGAAAAAGTGTGGATGGTTCTGCACAAAACCTTCACCACTATAATCAAATCTCATGTGCTGTTGTCGGGCTGTCGGTTCATAGGAACTGATCTGCTTGACCCTCATATGTCGAATTCGACGGGAGAATCGCCAGAATCGTATTGGAATGGTCACTCGCAATCGAGGATACCCGTTTATTGGCTACCCGTTTAGTAGGGAGGCTAGCCAATCCCTATTTCAGAGGCACGCTCAGGCACATCAGATTCAACACCTACAGAGCCAGCCTGTGGTTTATACTCCAACTGAGAGAGCGTGTTATCTAACATGATCAACAATTTGAACAAGGTCAGCACGCTCAAGCCCTCGGCCCCGATGACTTGTGGCTTCGTGCTAGCACAGCTATCGATGGCTCTCAAGAGTTCTGTCTACCCAAATTCACTCACGGGTCAACCCGTGGTATGGTTTTCAGGCACTTTCCAAAGGTGCCGCTCCTCCAGACTGATAACATCAGGAAGCCTTCCTGATAAATCAAACGTGATGAGATTCGAACCCGGGTGTCATGATTAGCAAGCGAACTTTCCAACCACTGAACTATATATATATATATATATATATATATATATATATATATATATATATATATATATATATGTGGAAAAATGAGACAGCACTAAAAGAGTCTGCCTAAAATTAGCCCAAGAAATGGCAGAAGTTTAATTTAAAAAAACAAACAAAAAACAGGCAGGTAGTGACCAGCAACGTCTATAAGTTGCGTGACTTTGCACACAATCATCAGGCCGTTAATTATGTATATCAGGTCATCCCATAAGTTCTGTCCGAATTTTAACTTTTTGTTAAAATGAACGAAATATAAAGTGTCTAATGGAGCTGAACATTATTTTTATGTTTAGATGCATTTAAACTGATCAAATGTTATTTCAGAGAACAATAAAATAAAATTTTGTTTGATTAAAACCCTGCTAACATGGAAGTACCCAAGAATCATTTGAGGTAAATAATGCTTTATGAGTTCAAGAAAGGAAACTCAGCAGCCGAAGCGGCTAGAAACATTCACTCAGTTTATGGAGAGGAATGTGTGAATGAAAGAACTTGCAGAAGATGGTTTGCAAAATTCAGAGGTGGAGATTTCACCCTTGAAGATGAAGATCGAACCGGACGTCCAGTTGAGTTTGATGAAAAGCTTCTTGAAGCAGCCCTTGAAGAAAATCCTGCTTTATCAGTTGAGGAATTGGCAGTGGTTCTCAGTTCAAACCATACAAGTCTTGATTTAGTCATAGAACCACGATTCACCACCAATTATAAACTTTTAAATACGCGGGGAGACCACACTCTACACACTTTCCTTTCACGCACTATTGTAAACAACGGAGCGAAAACGTTATAACTTAGTGCGCATGACAGAGTTCAAGTCAATCAATCTTTCACTCGGAGTATGTTATTTATATATGTATCCAAGCAGGTTATATTAAAATCGACCGAGAAGTTTACGGAGAAGCTATCATTAAGTCTGTTTCAAATACAGTAGAATCCCTGATATCTGGAATCCCTGATAGCCGTATATTTTTAGTTTATGTATATTATTTTCAGGGAAAAGTATATATGTATTTTCAATAAGAAAGCGTCTGAAAAACTTGTCCAAATTATTCAGTGAAACATGTTTCAATATATATATATATATATATATATATATATATATATATAAGTTATGAAAAACTTGGTAATCCGTATGGGTAGTCCCAAGGAGGTTGAAATCCTAAGAGTGCAATGTAAATCCAGAGCTAAATTTTTAAAGAAAAAGCAGACCACTTTAAGTTCCATTATAATAATTTATTTCACCAGAGCCCCTCTGTTAAATTACAAAAACTAACTTCCGTTAAGTTAATCGATTAAATAGGTCAAGATCTGGTACCTCCTCCCCTAATACTAAGTATGATTGAAAGAAATATTAAAATAAACTTTCTCTAAACTCGACCATGTCTCTCAAACCACTCCTCATTACCTCCTCTGTTAAATTGCAAAAACTTACACTATCCATCAAAAGTGTAAATTTTCATTTCATTTTTCGTTTCATCTTTTGGAAGTGCTATCAGATGATCCAGCGTCTTTTAAAAGGGCTCTGGTGAAATAAATTATTATAATGGAACATTAAAGTGGTCTGTTTTTTCTTCAATATATATATATATATATTATCAAATCCTCCTAATAATTTCTATCATATATATATATATATATATATATATATAATGCGATGAGAACGAAAGTAATATATAAATTCAAACGTTCACAGCATTAATCCAAAAGAGGTCTCGATACTGATAGTAGACCGATAATTATTTATTTATTATAGTTTTATCATATAGACAAAACCATTTTACTCACTACAAAGATGCAACTTGGTTTCAGTGTATTTCAACTGCACTTCGACGGGTGAGAATCGAAAATGGTTATAAACAATCCTGCGAATAAGCAAGCCGTATGTGAAACATCACTTCCTTTGTTTCCATTTGTTTGAGAAGAAAAATATACATAAAAAAAATGGTGACGGAGTGGAACAATGTTGCTTGTTGATAGCAGTTTTGGTGAAGAATGGATTGGGTGTTTAACGTGGACTGGTCTGTGGAGATTTTTTCCTCCGATAAGCACCGCTCAAAAGTTTAGACACATCATCTCACAAGCAGGTAAAAAACTTTCGGCCTTGTGCCACGTCTAAGCTACGCTTGGAAAATCACTATTTGCACCTCGAGGCGGTGTAATGGTTAGCGAGCTTGTCTCTCCAGAACAATTACGACTGAGTAGTGAGTTCGATCCTCACTGGGTGCCCCATATTTTTGACTTTGTGCCACATCTGAGCTAGGCTTGGAAAATCACTATGGGCACCTCGAGGCGGTGTAATGGTTAGCGAGCTTGTCTCGCCAGAACAATTACGACTGAGTAATGAGTTCGATCCTCACTCGGTGCCCCTAACTTTCGGCCTTGTGCCACATCTAAGCTACACTTAGCAATCCCTTTGCGTATTTCGACGTAAGGGTTAGAAAGCTTGTCTCGCAAGATCAATTATGATTGAATAGTGAGTCTGATCTTTACAGGGTGCTTTCAGCAGAGTTGCTCAGATGTAATACAAAGCTTTCAGCATTGTCCGACATCTAATAAGCAACTCTTAGAAAACTTAACTTGTTTTTGTGTGTGAATGAGTTTGTGGTTGCAATTCATCCAAGTCCCGCACTAATTTCTTCCTGGTTACAGATATTTCTACCACAGTTAATGATAGTGTTTTTGTATTTTTAATTACTAACACCATTAGTTTCTTATATATATATATATATATATATATATATATATATTAGTATGCATATTACAAATATTCAATGAGCTTTTCATTTTAAAATGTTGCTATTCACCAACCACAGACAAATCATACATATGGGGAGTAGTTAGGACTTCATAGAGACTTTGTGGTATTACGGTGGTTGTAGTCATAATGGCAAGTACGAATGGGGTATTTTGGTGCAAGGTTATTGTATAGTTTTTGGGGGGTCAGTTATTGTAGCAAGCTAAGTTTAAGATAAGACAGATGATGACCAACATTCACCATTCCCACTTGTGGACTTGTGTCCCATTTTTTTTTATATTTATGCAAAAATAAATTTCATTAGTACAGCAAAGAAAGTTAATTTAAGTGATCTTAAAGACGTTATGGTCTTTGGTGCCAGACGGGAATGTCTGCGAATTTCAAAAACTGATTATCTTCTACGATTTTCATGCACAATACCTCTAGACCTGAGTAAGACGATAAACTACATCCGCGTCCTGGGTAAGACGATAAACTGCATCCGCGTCCTGGGTATGACGATAAACAACGTCCAACAGCAAGGCCTCTAATCAGGAAGTTTTTAGGAGCACCTCTTAATTGCTGGTGCTTCCAGGTCTACCCTGTCCCAGTTAGGGTCACAGCTATGGGCAAATAGTTAACCCCCAAACTGGGGTCAAAACGTGTACAAATAGGTTTTATTACCAGCAATGAATTTTTGAATAAAAATTATCAGCAATATATTATTACCACATTATTTTTGAAAGAAAAATATTACCAGAAATAAAATCTTGTCGGCATTAAATAAACCATTGAGGTTGATATACCGTAAAATAAGCCAAACCTGCAGTGAAAAGCTCTAGGGTTTACAGAGAATGTCCAGAGAAGAAAATAATTACACTGAGCAGAAATTCTGTGGGTGGCGATACCTTGTAACTGAAAGTAGTCGGTGGATCATGACTAAGTGGGTTCAAGCTTATAAAAAGGCAATTGTAGCGCAAATAGACATTTTTTTTTACAACGGTAAATTCAGAAGACCTTCTCTGCGAGCATAACACGTCGAACCTTAAATTAGAATGGCTACAGCAGCTGAAGACCGAGCGGGGTGCGACTCTTGTCAGGTAAGAATAGGAAAATGAGGTTAAAATTCGTTAAGAATCACAAAATATGGACAAAAGGCGCGCTAGAAATCAATGGATTCTCTTTCTTTCTCCCAACTTAATCTTGAATACAAACTTTCTTTCTTTCTTTCTTTCTTTCTTTCTTTCTTTCTTCCAACGTATTCTCGGGTGGAAGTATTCTTTCTTTCTTTCTTTCTTTCTTTCTTCTCACTCTCGATCCTTCTGTATTGGCCCGTATATCGTTCTTTCTTTCTTTCTTTCTTTCTTTCTTTCTTTCTTTCTTTCTTTCTTTCTTTCTTTCTTTTTTCTGTTTCCAATTTTTATTCTATTGTCTCTTTTATTTACACTGTCCCAATTGTTCTTTCTTTCTTTCTTTCTTTCTTTCTTTCTTTCTTTCTTTCTTTCTTTCTTTCTTTCTTTCTACAATGTCCCAATTGTTCCTTTCTTTCTTTCTTTCTTTCTTTCTTTCTTTCTTTCTTTCTTTCTTCTCACTCTCGATCCTTCTGTATTGGCCCGTATATCGTTCTTTCTTTCTTTCTTTCTTTCTTTCTTTCTTTCTTTCTTTCTTTCTTTTCTGTTTCCAATTTTTATTCTATTGTCTCTTTTATCTACACTGTCCCAATTGTTCTTTCTTTCTTTCTTTCTTTCTTTCTTTCTTCTCACTTTCGATCCTTCTGTATCCTTCTGTATATATCAATCGTTCTTTCCCTCATTTTCCGTTTCTTTCTCTTTTTCTTCTTTTCTGTCATCACGCTCGATCTGTATTCTTTCTGTATATATCATCTTGTGTTTCTTCCAACTTTTCCTCCAAAGAACACAGCCTCCCTTCATCTTTCATCCATTTCAAAGCCTGTCCACTGCTTACCAATTACTGACGAAATCTGCAAAATTCTAACCGATAAACACGACTCGATGACATCTAAGATAAGAACAGCAAGAACGAGTGCTGACAAAACAGCAACAAAAATAAACCTAGCAATCACTTCGGAGGTAAACAAGCCAATGAAGTCATTTATCTTGATGGAGGCTGTGTGTGATTGTATAGCTCAAGAGTTGACAGAAGGCCCGGAAGAGGACATTTATCGCCGGAAGTTTAAAAAGTGCATACAATTTCAGCATTCGAAGATAGTGCACATAGAAATAAATAAATAAATATTAGCTTTCAAAAATGCTGCCTTCAAAATGCCAAGAGTTAAAAAAGTAATACTTTCAGAATAATGATAATAATAATAATAAACAACAATAATAATAATGATGATAAAACTAGAAACAATACATAGAGAACACTCAGGTGGCAACATCATTTCTTTTTTATATATATATATATATATATATATATATATATATATAGAGAGAGAGAGAGAGAGATAGAGATAGATAGATAGATAGATAGATATAGATATAAAAGTGAACAAAGAAGTCAACATACGCTCTATGATATTGTGCACTTTATCCCATAAATATAGCACACCTTTAAACTATATTTCTTCATTCATATATATATATATATATATATATATATATATATATATATATATATATATATATATATATACAAATATAGGATTAGTGTAAATATATATATATATATATATATATATATATATATCATGTCATTCATAGACAGTACTGTTTCGCTGTATCACAGCTCCTCAGTGCGACTAGACAACCGAATGCCTCAAGCCCGGATCGAAACCCAACCGATATATATATATATATATATATATATATATATATATATATATATATATATATATATATATATATCGGAATATATAACTCGAACTAATTTCAACTTGGAACTAAGTGTTAGGGTTAGTTTAAGGGGTTAAGGTTAGGATTTTTAAATCGAGATAAAATTACTTCCGAGTTGAAATTAGTTCCGAGTTGAAATTAATTCTGTCACTCCTCTCGATGACTCGAGAGTGGAATCGGAAGATAAATTTGGCAAACCATTCTGTTTTATCGGCAAAAGATGATGTCCCTTCAAATAGGGTGAAAAGATGATGGATTGATAACTTGCTTTTATTTAACACACACTTATAGAACCGTCAGTAGTCACGAGAACCAAACCTGTGTGAATCTATAAGGTGCCTCAATCTATTAGCGAATAACGACTTAACTTCTTTGAGGACATGTTTCTACGAACGGGCACAGGGATATCGTGTTTCCTGTTGACTATAGAAGCTGAACAGGCCGGTGTGAATTAAAAAGAAGTTTGTGGTTTTATCGCGTATCTACTAGAAGGCACAAACGCCTCAAAATCGGCTTTTACTTAAGAAGAAACCTCAGTAGCACAATTATCAACATGATAGTTAAAATTTTCAATCCAAGAGACATCTCAAAGAGAATCATGAAATGTATCGCTATCGATAACTGGTTATAAAACGGACTTAACCGATTCATTTTTTACGGATCCTTAACCTTTTTGTGCATTATTTAAATCCAGAAAATAACTTTATATTGTAAGAATATTTTTTCGAAATAAAAACATATACCGATACAAGTCTTACTAATTAACCCATAGCTAGGAGGAGATGAGATGGATTTATGCCTTTAATAAGCTGACTGGAATTGGAACTCGGCTTCCTGATTTCAAAGTCCGAGTCGCTACCCATTAGAAAATCAGTATATCCAAGCTTAAAGCACCTGATATTTCTAAGCGGTCAGCCATGTAGTTAATGATCAGGATCAAAGTTGCTTAACTTTGGTGATCGTCCCAGAACCGGTTTGGTAACAGAAAGAAGACTTATGAATAGGAGGCTCATGTCCAATAGACAAGTCAACAGATATTACAACTTGATCCAAATTACCTAGAGGACAGTGGTTCGTTTCTCGACAAGAACCATAGGAGGAGGCAAGGAAAAAATCAAGTAAAGAAACATGTTGATTAGATTTATTACCAAAACGAGCAGGGATATCTACTATTTGACTGAGAGAAAGGTAATAGAAAAATTGAAAGTCTGAATACCGGTAACATCAGTAACATTAGAATGATTAAGCTATTTGATACGACGAGGAATAAAATACCCAAACACAAAATAATGTTCGCAGTTAATAGTAGAAAGCGAGCCATTTATATACTGCCAGTTTATTTTAATATGTTTTTTTAGTCCTGAGAAGAAGGAAAAAGTGAAGCTAAAGAGAATTCAAAAAAGAAAGTTGAAAGCACATGAACGAATCATTTTGAAAATAAAATTAAGATGTCGTTCATCTTCATTTCAATTCTGAATTAAATCTAGAATGGAAATTTAAAGTTATATAATTTTAATGTCCTTAATAACGTATGTCTAAAATATTTGCTCGTGTGTTTTTCTCACTCGGTACTCCCCCCGCCCCCCCTCTCTCTCTCTCTCTCTATATATATATATATATATATATATATATATGTATGTATATATATCCTGACGATTGCATTTAGCATGAAATAGACTCGCCTCTGGGTGTTGATTTCCATGTACACTTTTACATTTACATATGTTCTATCCATGATATTGACCGTAAATATAGCATACTTTAAAACTGTCATACACACACACACACACACACACACACACATATATATATATATGTGTGTGTGTGTGTGTGTGTGCGTGTGTGCAATAACAGAAACTTTCGTCTTTAACCAAAGTTGCTTAAATTTCAATTATACACGATGTCTGTTTGAAATGTAACGAGACTGTCAAAAAAATTATTTCAATCTCAAGCAACAGACTAACATGGTTTTCACTTCAACGTAGTCCTCCTTGAGTCTAATGCACTTTTCCATCCTTCTCTGCCACGCGTCTATGTGAAAAAATATAGTTTTACGGTGAGCTCTATTTATGGGTTAAAGTTCTCAATATCAGGGATATAGCTTATGTCACTATAAAAGTGAACATTGAAGTCTACACCTAGAGGCTACAGTCTGTTTCATGTTAAAAGCAATCATCAGTCCATTTGAGTCGTGTTTTTGCTCGACTATTAATACATGCATTGATGCATTATACATCATGCAGTGATGCATTATGGGTAGTATATTGCATTGTGTGTTGTTTACTAAATTATTCTAATGGTTATTTAGGTGGGTGTTAACGGTTTCAAATTATTCTGGGGTCTATCTTGTGTTAAAATATTGAATTCCAATGCAGTTTTGAAGCTATTTATAGCGTTGTCAGTTAAATTTCTTTATTATTGATTAATGTAATATTGGTTTTTATTACTACGTTATTTTTTTGTTTATCTGTGTGTATGTGGTTTGTTATTTTGTTTATTATTTACTTAGTTTATTTACTTATTTATTTGGATTAATTTATTTAATTTGTTTTTGTTTATTTAATTATTTTTATTTATTCATTTTCGTTTATTCGATTTTGAAGTAACGTAGTAAAAATTTCTTTTCGTGTCTGCATTTTCAGATGAGTTCTGATCGTTTATTTTGTAGTTTGTTTTGGTCTGGCAAGGTAATTATAGCTATTTTTTTCTCCAGAAAGAGTTTACAGATTTTGGATTAACTGTTGTAGGCTGATGTTCTATTTGTTATTTTCCAAGATATTTTTCGTGTGATTTGTTTTTAATATCCCAGATATGTTTAGAAAGCATTATGCTGTTCGCGTATTTACTATTTATAAAAGATGTTTTGTTTGCGTAGTTTCTTTGTTTCCAGGGTCTTTCAGTTACTCCTATGTATGTTTTTACTTTGTTATCTGATGATTTTACAGTAGCATGTTTCTGAAAGCAATTGCCATTTAAGTGACATTCGTTCTTTATTCTGCATTTACACGTGTGATTAATTTGTTCAGATGGCTTGTTGATTGTTTTCCTGTTCTGCTTTTTATTATTTTTGTCATGTTCTCGGTTCAACTGTAGGTGGTTTTTACTGTTTTGAATATCTTGTGTAGAGTGCTTGATGCGGGGAAGTGTTTGTGGATTAGTTTAATGAATATTTTTCCTACGTTTGTTTTTATGTTTTGTTGTACGGTGGGTTGAACCATATAATGTTTCTCTTCCTATTGGCTTTTTGTTGTGCTGTGGGGTGTGTATGTAAGTGTTGCTGAGAATCCACTATCTTTTAGGGTTGTTTCACAGTTTTTCTTAGCTTCGTTGAATATGGTTACATTGGAAACATTTTCAGAAAACCGGCAATTAATTGATTGTGGTATATGCTTGATTATTGATGGCGGGTGGTTGGAAAATGTGTGCATATATAGTGGTTTATCATTGGGTTTTCTCTATGGTTTATATGTACCTTTTCTTAGGTTGGAGATGACATCTAGAAAATCTACTTCATTTAGGTGAGTTTTTATGTCTATATTGAAGCCCATACTTTTGCAAATCTTTGATTGTTTTTCTAGTTTTTTCTGTGTTTTGTTTGTTAAAGTTTCTTAAGATTATGAGGTCATCATCCCTGTAGTGTCCTGTATCTTTTCTATCGATTATTTTATGTGCAACAAATATATATCTATGAGTTTGCAGGTCTCTGCACTTTCAAAGATTCACATTGTAGTGTAAATATCCTTTCTTTCTTTATCCATGCAATTTCATTGTCGAATAGTAGGGATTTTTGCGAGTGTTTAATGATTTTAATTTTTTTTGTGTTTATTTTTATTTGGTCTTGAGCTAAGGAAATGGCCTTATCTAGCATGGGTTCTATTATAGAAGGGTAGAATTCTTTTATATCTAGTTGTATAAATTGGCAATTATGTTTGTTTTTTAGTTTGTGGAACCAGTCTATAGTTGTTTTTATGTCTTTCCACAGATTTGCTTCTAACATCTTACTTAATTTTGAATTAATTCTTTCTAGTATTGTTTTATTTATTTTACCTAATTCCCTTTCGGTTGGGTTTATGAGTCTCCATGTTGGAATTGTGCTG